TATATATATATGTTGATCGCACTGCAAAGATTTGAGTAGGAAAAAAATGAAACAAATATTTGAATGCAGTCCTATCAAATCTTTCAAAAATGAAATACATTAATACGAAACATGGTTAGAAGAGAAAGGCACGGAAATTTTTTTTTATTGACAAAACATAATTAATTAAGATAAAAACCAGCTACAAAATCAATAAAAATAAAATAAAATAAAATAAACATAATTACTAGTAAATTAAAATTAAAGTTCTTATACTTTAAATTTTAAATTTGAGTCTTATCATATACAAATTGTTATTTATGTTTGTTGATTTATCAAAAGCAATTATTATTATTATTTTTTATTAACCTTTCAGTATTCAGTAATTATATTAAATTCGATTAATTTGAAATCGAACCGCATTGGACTTCATTAGCGGAAAAGTTCTCTGAATACTTATTTTTTCCTTTATAAAATTTAAACTCGAGATTTTACTTAAAAAAAATCGAATTTCTTTCACTCAGACTAATTAATTATTGATATTAAAAGCAATTAAATTTGCTCTAATTATATTCTCATGTGTTAGGTGTAATAATAGATCATAATGAAATTTGTACCCATAAAAAATAAAATAAAAATAAAACCTAGATAAGGATCCCAGCATCAACCTTCACAACGTGGATTGGATTTGTATAATGGGATTTGCAACATTTGAAGAAGAGGAAAAAAACAAAGAAGGACCTTTCTTGATTTTTTGATTAAGACCAAATGTAATATCAGTTTTTATCAGTTTGATATAATTTGAACGTACAAGTAACTTCTTGTCATTGTACCATCCACTTAAACAAGGTTAGGTTCATTGTTCTGAACGTAACATTACAGGAGTGCCTTAAGAACAAATGCTAGTTGATTGTAGGGACAGAAATGCAGAGAGCGACATGAAAATGGGTAGACAAAAATCACCATCAGCACCAAGGAAAGCCAAAAATGGTGGTACAGAATGGGTCAGGAGGGGTGGACGACCATTCATTCCCAGATGTGTGCAAAATTTGAGGCAGAAGGTGCAATTCAGCCCCTCTACGTCCATTGTTGTGGCACATCAGCCCCTCTACCTAAAAGTAGAGCAAATCAGCCCCTCCACTTGACAAAACCCGCAAATCAGCCCTTCTGCTGACGATGACCTCATCAAATGCCATCTTTCCGTCCACATCCTTGTTACTCCGTTACCAAGAAGTGGCTTGGTGCTGATATGGCATTGGGTGAGTGATGTAGTCAATTTAAACTGTAAAATTATTAAAGAGTCCTCATCTATTTCTTTTTCTTCCATTCATCTTCTCTCTCCTCCTTTACAATCTCTCTCTTCATATTGCAAATTTACTTTTTTTAATAGATTAAATTAAAATTTTTTTCAAATAAATCTAAACTTCAAAAAATATTAAAAAAAC